GCCTTGGTGGTACAGTGGTTAAGAACTCAGCTGCTAACTGAAAAGTCAGTGGTTCAAACCCACTAGCAGCTAATGAATGGCACAGCCTTGGCTAAAAACTGGGTCTCCTAAATCATACACCAGCACAGAAATGCACGGATGGAAGATTTACATCTATTTGTGTGCACCTGTGTGCACCTGGCTGCCAGGCACAGCCACCCACAGGTAAAATTTTGAAGTAAGCAAAGCATATGGTTGTCCCTCAGGTCACACTCTCCACTCACACAGCTGTACCCCCAACCCTGCCCATCCAGTGCAGTAGCCTAGGATATAGCTATCTTCTAACTCTGAGGTTGGCAAACGTTTTCTATAAAGGGCCAGATAGTAAATTTTAAAGGCTCTGTGGTCCATACCATCTCTGTCACTGCTATTCAACTCTGCCACTGTAGTGTGAAAGCAGCCATAGACCATTCATAAAGAAGTGGGTGTTGTGTGTTCTGAGAAAACTTCATTTACACTGAGGGGACATGGAGCTTGTGTTAAGGGTGATGGAAAAATCTGGGAAAGAATAGTGGGGATGGTTATATAACATGCTGAATCTTACATGTAAAAAAATGGTGAAATGGCAAATGTTTCCTATTACATACTCAATACAATTCAAAACAAAACAAAACATCCTACACAAAAACATTGTTCTGCATCCTACTTTTATGAGTAGCGACTGGGGTCTTAAAAGCTTGCAAGCAGCCATCTAGATTCAACAATTGGTCTCTCCTCATCCAGAGCAAAGAAGAATGAAGAAAACCAAAGATGCATGGAAACATTTAATCCAAGGGACTAGTGGACCATGTGCACCTCAGCCTACATGACCCTGAGACCAGAAGAACTAGATGGTGCCCAGCTACCACTCTGAAAGGGATCAGTACAGGAGATCCTGAATGGAGTTGGAGAACAAAACCCAAAATCATAAAAAAGACCAGGCTTACTGGTCTGATAGAGATTGGTGAAATCCCCAAGACTATGGCCTCTAGTCACCCTTCAGGCTAGGAACGGAACTCACTCCCGTGGCTTCCAGCAAACAATAGACAGACATAAGGTGAATATTTATGCCAGGTAGGTACACTCCTTAGAACAATCAATCATGGGAAATCAGAAGGGCAATACTTGCACAGAGACATAGCTCAGATGGCAGGAATGCATAGGAAAGAACTATAGGGAGGAAATGGGAAGAGAGAGCTGTTACATTGTGGGGAATTGCAGTAAGTATCATGAAACAAAATGTGGTTGAACTGCTCTATGGAAAATGAATTTGCTCTGTAAACTTTCACCCAAGTCACAATTAAAAAACAAACAAACTTCATTTATAAAATCAGGCCTACTGGCTGTCATTTGTCCATTCCTGTTCTAACTGCTCTCTGCATTAACACTTCTAGCCCTGTGTTCTATCTCCTAGCCAGCCTGCTAAACTTCTAACAGTGGGTCAAAGCAATGATGCCCAAAGTGTGATTGTGTACCACAGGAGTACATGAGGTACTTTAGGTGTTCCAAGGCTTTCTTCGTTTTTATAATTATGTATTTAAACTAATGTGTATTACAGAATGCATAACTGGCCCATAAAACTTGTGATTTCTCATATAGTCATTAATTCATACAATAAATATCGTCTACCATGTTCCAGGAGGAGCTCTGGTAGCATAGTGCCTAAGGCACTTGACTGCTAACCAGAAGGCTGGCGGTTCAAACCCACCAGCCACTCCTC